GCTGGAGCAGAGATTCCCCTGCAGCCAATGGAAAAGACCATGCCAGAGGAGATATCCACACTGCAGCCATAGAACAGGCCACTGCAGTCCTGGATATTTCCTGAAGGAACGGCAGTCCACAGACAGCCCACAATGGAGCAGGCTTGTCCTGAAGGGCTGCAGCCAGTGGAAGGACCCACATTGGAACAGGGAGGAAGGAGTGGCAGACAAGAACTGTTATGGACTAACCCTACCTCCCTATTCCCCACCCCTGTGCAGTACTTGGGAGGGGGGAAGAGGAGGCAGTGGAGCTGGGAACGAAGGAGTGAAGTTGAGCCTGGGAAAATAGGAGAGCAGGAAAAGGTGGTATTTTAAATTTTGTCTTTATTTCTCACTGCCTCAATTATTTTACATTCACCAAAGTCAAATTTGAGTTCTGCCCATGATGGTAGCTGGTAAGCTATCTCCCTGTTTCCATCTTGACCCACAAGATTTTTCATCCTCTTCTCTCCCTCTGCCCTGTTTGAGAAGGGGGAATGAGTGAGAGGCTGGGTGGGAGTTTGGCCCTTACCCAAGGTTAATCCACCACAGGCTCCTAGATCTAGCTACAGACAGATGCAGAAAACCCCGGTGGAAGCTTGGATCCAGGATATGGGAAGGAGTATAGCTGGACAAAGTTGGATAAAGCCAGTACTCCCTCTCCTGAAACCTGAATTCCAAGGATTATTAATGAAAGATGGGGTGATGGTCAAACCATCATGGTCCAAAGGGTAGAGGTTAGAGTGAAGTGACTAGTGATAGATACTTAGATAGGGATCCTGTATCTTATCTCCCAGCATACCATTTCCCCCAAACTTGAAGGAGGGTAAAGACCTCTTTTTTGCAGAGTTCAGAGATCCACCAATTAAACTGAATTCATTCTTCTGTAAGGAGACTGTGAAGTAAGGATGCTAAAATGTGATCATGACTTTGAGAGGGCAAAGTATTTTTAGACGTAAAGGAAATATACGCTGTGAAAGTGTTAGTCTCTCACCTTTAAAGAAACACAAATCACATTCAGTGCTTCCTTGATCTGAGGATGATGCGATTCATGAACTAGCTCCTCACAGATCCAAATACCAAGGCTGCAAAGAGCAACACACCTGCAAAACAATGTTGGGGGACAAGTTGTTGAGAAGTGTGCTACAAGAATGTGCAATTTTTATGACTCATATATGTCCTGCTAAAGTCCAACAAATATGTTTTTAATATTGGAAAAGAACTACACAAAAAACTTTATAATGCTCTAACTTATTTAAAAATGAGCAATAAATCCCAAGTACTCAGGAGAGGACAAAGGAAGCACCCTTCTGAGCAACTGAAAAATCCAAAAGACATCAAGAATTGCATCTCCGTGTGCTTTCCGGATAGAAAGTATGACCTGAAATCAATCTATGGGAAATTCACATACATTTTCTTAAGACAAGGTAAAAATTGTTGTGGGAGGTTCCTCCTCAACATGAGTGTTTGCTCATATCCGTTTAGACCTTCTGGGACACTGAGATAAAAGAGGGGAATGTTATTTTTTCATAGATATTTACTTTTTTTTTTGAGATTGTCAATAAACAAAGATTAATAGAGGAGGAGTAAATGGATGCAAGAGACAGTACACATATTGTCATTAAATCAGCTTTTGTTGCTTCTTCATTTAAAATCAGGAAATAGAAAAGAAGTGTAAAGATAAAGAGTATTTAGATGTGCTCAAATCAGCAGATATGGATGAAATTTGTTTGGAAACATTAAGGAGCTATCTTAAGCAACCTCTGGATAATGGAATTAATGGTATGGGATAGTGTAAATAAGATGTCAAACCACCCTGTTTTGGACATTGTCACTGAAATCTCAATTGCAAGACTGCCTCCATTACATTCTGCTTAATGCAGTTTAAGAAGACAGACAAGATTGAGGGAATCTAGGAAAAAAATTACAACAAATAATAAACAGCTTTGGGAAATACTGCATATGGAGGAAAAGTTGAAGGTAGTGCTGACTGTAGCTCACAATTAAGGAAGGAAATTATAAGAAATCTTCTGATGCGCAGTAAGTCACTGAAGAGTTCAATTTCCAGTAGAAAAGACTTTTTGTATATACTCATCATAAAATCACCCTGACTGTAAAATTTAGATAAGTGCTGGAACAGTCTCTCTGAGATTTTTCTAACTTTCCCCTTTGAGAAATTTTCAGGACCATTTAGTCAAGCTAATGCCACAAAGGTTTTAAACACACTCCAGCCTTGGAGGAGGGGGAGCAAGCTGCTATTTCCATAGTATGTGTTTCTAATCCTGTTTCAACAAAAGATAATAAGAACATAGCATAGATTTAACAATAAATCTAGTTTATGTAAGCTGAATCAGAAAATAAACCTTCAGTATACAGAAGAGTAGACGACTCTAAGTCTGTGTCACTACTCAAAGTTCTCTTCATGCTACTGTGAACCGTTCCATGTCTGATGACATACTGATGTGCCAAATATTCAGGAGTCTGTGACATTTCTACTAAGAAAACCAGTTTTGTTATAATTTTTCAGAGTAGTCTCTGAAGAGACATTTGGAATCTGTTTTTCATCTTCATTTAACATTATTGCACACAATGGTCCAACTTTGTATTTTGGAGGCAGTATAACTTGGCTTTCTGGAAGGCTGGGCATGCACATGCAGGATATTTCCTTTCTCTTCCCAAAAACACTGCCAAAAGTGAACACTCTAATACTGTGTGCTTCAGAGCAACAGAATCAGTAAAAATATTCTGTATCAACTGGATTTAAACTACCTTTTCACAATGCAAAATGGAGAGTGCTATGCTTTTTAGAATTCAGTTTTGTAAAAGAACATGAAAAATGAAATGAAAGTGTTCTCAGAACATTACTTCCTTTCCCTGTCTTGAGAGATATTACCAGCTCAAGTGAAGAACAGGTAAGTGGGCTGACAAATCTGCTCTTGGTTTTCCAGTAAAATGTTCCAAGGTTAAACAAGCTGATCTTTCTAGAAATATTTTTCAGGCACGTAGTTCTACTATTTTGCATTTGTTAAGTAACAATGTATTAGTTGTTCACCTATGAACACTCCATACAAATATATAAGGCACATAAGTGTGCTTTTCCATGGTAGGCATTAGGTCCCTGTTCCAATATCATATATGCAGGACTCTGTAACTGAAAGCATCTGGGGATGGGTAAGGAGGAACAAAATCCTAAGTAAATTAAGAAACAGAAAAGAAAACTGGTAACTATCCTCTCTGAAGTACTCTATTTGATGAAGATGCTGAGGTTTAACCACTCTCACCATAATGCTTAGCTCAGTATTTTCTACTTCTTTTCCATACATAAAGAAGGAGGCACGCACCTTGAATTATTTTTTTCTAATTAAATCATGTGGCCTAACAAAAAATAACCATACCTCCCTCATAAACAATCTTGTCCTTAATCAAAGTAAAAGTGACTCTCTAGTACAAAGAATTCCTTAGCTGAACACCAGGGCAGGCTGGGAAAGCATACAGCTTGTACTCTTACCCGTATTTACACCCTTTCCTATCAGACACTATCAAAGAAAGGATGCTGGGCTAGGACCAGCATTTGGTCTGACAGAAGATGTCTGGTTTTTTAGTATCTCTGTTTATAAACCATATTGAATTAATATGGTAGACCGCAGTTTTGACTGTGGTAAAGAAAATAATGAACAAAATACATGTAAACTTTTACTTTAAGGTCTCTATTGTATTTGCCTCAAAACAGTATCATAAAGAAAAGAATCTATTAATTTAGCAGCTCTTTTTGTATGACCTACCGTGCAGGACCTGAAGGTTCCTCTCTTGCTGAACTTAACACAGTTTTAATTATGAGTTCCTAAAACAAAGAGGAAAATATTCACTGATTTACCAATAACTCTGTCGCATGAAGCATAGTACACACCGGCATGTTGCTTAGTTGAATGTCTAATTTTGTAGTCAGTCAAATTGTTTGCTTACCAATACCCCAAGCTTCCAGTCTGCCCCAGATGTTCATTATTGTGCTACCCCAAGAATATCCCACAGGTTATTGTCCTAATTTCTGACGATTAACCATTTATCCAATTCTTGCCATTACATTTCCACAGAAGATCAAAGGTAAAAAAAAGCCACAACAAAGGACTCCCTAAAGTCAGCTTCTGTAAATAGTGCTGAAGCGTATTACAGAAAAAATCTACCGCTTTGAGGTTTAAACAAGCATATTTTCAAAATCATATTAATTTAAAAAGTCTTTGCAAGTAGTTGCAGAACAAGACACTATGGTGCCTTAAGAAGGATGTCAATTCTTTGACTCAACTGCTATAGGCTGCTCTCAATAAAGCTCAAGAACACAGCCTTTATACAACAGAAATGAGAAAGAACGAATTCATTATGGGGAGCCTTTCTTAGACGGAGCAATCACACCTGATGTGCATATCTACAACAATTAAACACACAAACTGAGCTCTGCCCAGTTTCAGCACACTGGCACACTACCCGGTTCTGTGTTATGATACAGAGGGTAAGGTCTCCATTAATCTCTGCTTTTTGTCTGAAAGAACGTACTGATGCAGAAAGGTTTTCTAAAGCCCCTAGGAACACAGGCAGATTTCACTAGTTGCAAATTCTCAATAAATTAAATAATGTATCCTGAACTGCTCAATCTTCTCATCTCAGCTGATTAAATCTGTGAGACCTGCAAATAGCCCTAATGAGAGCAGGCTTGAGAAGGTGAGATAGCACAAAATTTCATTTTACAAGTATATGAAAATACTTTATTATTAAGTTAATGGCAATTATAAGGTATGTTTAGTAGTATAAAATTTGACAAGATTTTACAGGATCTTGAGCTTTATAGCCTTGAAGTGATTTCTGAAAAATTTTAGAATCTTAACATTTTAGTTCTCATTTCCTAGAAAAAAACCATCATATTAAAAAGTTACTTGGTAATGGAATACTATCCAAATATTCTTCAAATTCCTACCTTAACATCTGTAAACTGAGACACAGCAATATCAGGAATGTTTGGATGAAGAGCTGGAAGTTCATGATATAAATTGGGAAAACAGACTAGAGATCCTAAAAGAACTTGTGCTTCAACTCTTGGTGCCTAAAAGAGAAAAGGGTGGAGAGAAATACATATTTTTGCTGCAGTCAGGAAGCTGACATTTCTAGCTGCCTTAAGAGAGAACAACAGCTAAAACTGCAGAGCTATTTCCTTTCTCCTTCTGCGAATTCTGTGGAGCTGAGCAAACCGAGACCACAGGCCCCATGGATTGTTACCCATGCACACCCCACACTCCCATTTTCCAAGATGGACAAAAGGAAGCAAAGGAATTGTTAGGAAAACAGACAAATGACTGAGCTGCTAACTAGGCAGCTAATTCAGCTAATTGAACTGGATGTGGAAAACTACTGGACGTGACAGGAGGCATTGCTGGATATGACAGGTAACAGTGCAAGAAGCTGACAGAGGCTTTAGAGAGTACCTTGAGGGACGCTGAATTTCATAGCTGGTTAAAGAGGGAATGATGTGAGAAACAGTCAAAATTCAGAGACAACTGGAGGGGAGTACTGGGGAACTTTGAGAGAGTACAGTCATGCAAGGCCAACAGCACCTAGGTAATCATATTACCATATAAGGCTGAAGTTGCCTGGGTAACTATATCAAAACTACAGCCAAACAGTGCAGATTTGAGTTCTCAAGCCTAATCATCCAAGTCACAGCACAGCAGAAATATGGAGGAATAAATATACTTTAAAAATAAAGGTACTGCCAGATATTTATTTTAAAACATTTTAAAGTGCGGATAAATGGTAGTCACAATTCCAAGAACTCTGAAGTAGAAGATTCTCTGCTTCAAAGTAATTTTTTGCATTTTTCACTTTTTTTCTGTAGAGGACTTGCATATGTAGTGTCTATCACAGACAGTATCTGCATTTGCTAACCATTACATTGACTTCTGTGGACAAGTTAACATCCTTGTAAAGGAAAAATACGGTTCAATTTTCTCTCAGACCCTTTCCACTTGCAGCTAAATGAGAATGAACTGATGAATACTTACATTGAGGAAAGAAGAAGCAGCTACTCTTCCTGCTGCTACAATGAAATCCATAATAAGCATGGTGGCACCAGGCAAACCAAGTGAAAAAAACTGAGGAGAACAGTGCTTGATGATTGTGTTGACAATATCCTTGCAGAAGGAAAAGGGGAAAAAGGAAACAACGAGTGTCAAAAAGATGAACAATGAATGAAAAGAAGGCAGGTATTTATGAAAGGCAGGAAAGCAAATTCATTGTGGCAATTAAGACACTCATTACTGAATGAAGAGTAGCATGAAAAAATAAATTCCTTACATATACTCACATTAGTATAAATAAACTGGTATATTTTATAGATCAATTTACTCTTGGACACTATTGTACAAGGTTGATACCAGGTCACATCTTATATTAATTTAAATGTAGCTGCTAAGAGTTTTAGAAATTATTAACCATTCATTTAAATATGTACAGAAGAGATAATAGTAAGATAACCAGATATTATAGCTCCTTAACAACATGCTTAAATCCTCTCCAAGAAGTATCATCTGACTATAACTATAAAAAAGGTAATAGTCTCTTAGATATACGCATATAGAACCAAAATATAAAGAAAAAATTATAACAAAGTGGTTTATAATATTTCTGGTATATAACACAGCATTATGTAACACAGCATACTATTTTCTTGTCAATTTATACAGGCAGTTTTTAAAATTAATGTACATGATGTGATTTCTCCAAAAATAAAGGAAAAAGTATAAAATGTTTTAAATAATAAAAAAAGTCCCAAGCTCACAGATACGCAAAAAAAGAAACCTTTTCCTCTTCACAACAATTCTCCAATAGTAGTGATATCCAACTAAATGGCAATATGCTATAGGAAGTCTGCAATCCAGCAAGAAAAGCAGTGTAAGCTGGTTGTTCGAGGACAAGAACTGTCCTGTCCACAGCCATCTGTGGAATAATTTTGGACTATTTTTATTTTGTCAGGTTAATGAAAACAGGGTAGTTTGAACCTCTGATTTCCCTACGCCTCTAACTGCTCCTTAAAAAAGTTCACAAAATCAACTTTTTCACACTTCTGATGCAAACCTTTCAAGAGTGTTTAAGCGACACAATATTTTCAGACTTGTTCATATTAAAACTATAAAAGAGATCTACTCCCACTGGTTAGATATATTCAGTATGTCACAGTTTGCTGGCTCCTATACTTGTTGTAGAAAGATACTACTCAAATGTAGTGAGCACCATTTACTTTCCCACTAGCTAAACTTTTGCATCAGGGAGAACAGCAGACCTTAGGGAGATCTACTTCCTTCTCCTTCTTGGATGCTTCAATCTGTAACACACAATCAGTAAAAAAGTGAAAGAATACCTTTTCTGCCCCTGTGTTTGCTTGAAATGGACTACAAAAAAAGCACTTATGATTACAACCAAGAACATGAGGGCCATTTATCAAAATTTAGAAAAAGTATCAGCCACATAACTATTTTCAAAGACAAAGTTACGTTATTCAGCTGATAATACATTCAGTATTTTTGATAAACTATTTTATTTCTAGGTATACTATTTATATTAACCTGAATTTTATAATTAAACTTACTTGATCAACATGAAGAAGTCCACAGTGCATTATATTGTAGAAATGAGTTAAAAAATCCCTGTTTGGAGAAACATCTTGTCTTCGTTTCATTGTCTTACAAATGAGTTTATAAGCATGTAGCTTTCCTTGTTTGTATTTATCAGTCAGCATTGTTGCCTACAATTTTAAAACAGTATTTATTACTCATAAATAAAAAAATTACAGTAAAGACTCTTCTACACATATGCGAACCTTTATTTCTGTTTCACTGCTTAATGTTCAAATTTACCTTGAACAGCCATGGTGTTAGAATTCTCAGTGGTGGAATTAAAACTGGTGGAGATGGTGAAGTTAGGTTATCTGTTGAAATACCAAGATTGTCTCTAATCTGCAATTATTAAAAGCAAAACAAAAAGACAAATATTTAAGAGAAATATATAGGGTGGTGTTTTTTTCTTCTAAACAATCAGGTCAGGTGGGAGAAGAGATTCAGTTCTTTTACCTTGGCCAGATTCTGCCACAGTTCACACAGGTAATCAAAAACTTGGGCATGAATCTCTGGATCCATGATGCTGTTGACATCTCCCAAAATTCCTAGCATTCGCCTCCACATCACAGTAGCAACATCTGCATGCCACCCTGTAAGTGTTCCCCCAGCCATCACACTGCAGCATTCTGAGGGGAATTCACTAGTTTCTGTAAAGGAGGAAAAAAAGTATAGTGAGACCCAGCTCTCCAGAAAAATAGCTGATGAAACTATTACATACATAGTTTTCTTAACACCAAAAGGAAAAACAAAAAAGATTAGGCCTTCAGAGTACAATATTTCTTACTCATTCAGCCAGCTCAATGCTGGATATGTTTAACTATGTGTCTGTTATCAAACTCTGTAGAGGAAGAATTGTTCTGTGTCTTACATTCTTTCCATAAATAACATTTAAGGTCACTGCTGGAGCCCTAATAAGGACCTGATGGACCTAGTAAAGCCACTCCTTTCCTAAGTGCTGACTTACGCTCTTTGGAGTCAATGAATTTCCAGAACTCCACTTGTCTGCTTCCAAGTAAAATTAGATTCCAGTTTTACATTTTTCTCAGTAAAAGAGAAAGATGCTCTTCCTTAGATTCTATTAGGAATGTATTTTATTGCAAATTGAAAAGAAAGGTGAGAATACACTTGTCTCTGGCTACTGTTCTTTAAGCAGTAAATTTGTAGGAGTGGAGAGGCAACATTCAGTAATCTAACACCATGGTCTAACTCACCCAGTTTTATCTACACACCAGTTTTACATGAATTGCTTTTTAGGTAGGAGATTATTAATGTACTATGTTCATAAAAAGAAAACTTCAGTAGATTACAATGGCTAAAGTCTACTGAGCTGACACCTAGACTAAACAACCACACTAAACTAGCTAACGAGCCGCAGCTTTAAAGCAGTAGACATCCAGAATCTACTTTCTGCCCCTCAGGTGGATTTTCAAAACACCTCAGCACCAGAATTTGCTGAGATCTTCTGAAATTCTTGCAGCTCCCACAGGCATACAAAACCAAAATTAAATCTGAATTCAGCCTAATAACATAGCCTCTTCTTCTGAGGATCTGGACCACTGTGGTAGAGACATCAACAATTTCTAAGCTATAGACTTCAAAGTACTAAGCAAAATTATTATATTTCTGTCCATAAATAGGCTCCTTAGAGGAAAAGGGTCTCAAATATGCATCAGACACTTCTGTTTCCATGACACTAAACATAGGAGAAATGGGAACTTTGTATTTACAAAGTGAATGTATCCTAGAATTCATAGCTAAGGTAGCTGAAGTAATTATAAATTTGTTTAAATATAAAAGAGAAAAGAAACAAACTCCCAAGGAGAAATTATATTGTTACTTTAAAATTATGCCTTACTATTTTTACACCAATGATAAAATAGTCCACGGCAGGGCTGCATACTAGATTAATCTGCCACGACTCTAAACATCAAAAAGAAAATTCTAAATGTGTGGACTATTAATCCACTGCTAACAGTTCCAGTGAAATGCAAGATAAAAAGCGAAAGGGCTTTTTTGGCTTTTAAATATCTATAATTAAATATTTTTAAAAGTGCAGATGAATTAGCCTTGTACAGGATAGTCTACAACTAATGTGATACTAGCTACTTCACTACATGGCATTGGCAAGAAAGAAAGAACAGGTTTATATTTTCTATTCCAGATATTGCCTAGGTCATCTGGCGTCTGTAAAACAGAGTGGTGAAGCTTCTCATCCAGCTGCAGATCCTTCTGCTCAATATGATCTGCATGAAGAGTAGCAGGAGAGGGTGTCTGTGATCGGGATCCAAGAGCAGATTGGATTGGAGAAGCACTTTCAGAGCCTGCAAATGCAATTTTTAACAGTTACCTTAAAAGCCTTTTCTATTTTCTTGAGTTACTGAAACGTTGTCTAAACAAAGCATTAAAAGAAAACTGAACTATTTCCATATATCCAATCTGGGTAAGAAAACATATAAAAACCATAAGCAGATTTTCCTGTGAATGGTGCCCTGAAAGAAAACAAATTACATGCAGGAAAGCTGAGAGATGAACATCGAAATCAAATTGGTAAATGGATTAACAGAGCTCTATTTTAGGTCCAAAGAAATTTAAATGTGTTTGTTCTACAGCACTTTGAGTGTTCTGAACCAGTCAAATTTCTCTCTACATTCCCTCACCTAAATTTCTCTCCAATAGAGGATTCAAGCAGAAATTTTCCTGGAACAACTACTTTTCCAGGTTTATGGATACACACAAGTTAATTTATAAATAAAAGCTCAATCCAATAACTGACAATTTTTGATGTTTATCTGCCAATTGGACTGAGAAAATCCATACTAAGGGAAAGTTCTGTAAAGTTAGAGGAATGTAATTTCCTCTAAGACAGGAAAACGCAAGTGTTTGAATGGCAGTACTGCAAAGGGATTTCTACACTATCACCACTGAGTGATGATCACCACTGGCATCGTCTCCAGGTACTTATTTGGTCTCCTCTACTAAGACATCTGTGTCAAGGGAGCAGATACTTGTACTTTTCTCCTGCACTACCTCAGTTTCACTCCTGAATTTGCCTAAAGATCATTATAAAAAGCTGAGTGCAGTTACAACAGGCAGATGGCAGAAAAAAAGAACAGATCTCCACCACATACTTCCCTATACATCAGCATATTAAATGGAAGAATTCAAACCTATTAATTTTAACTCCTAGATGAATGTAACTGGGACCAAAAAATATTAAAATCATATGTGAATTTCAGTATTAGAGATAAACTGAGGTTTAGGGACAGCAATGAAAAAGCAAGTCTTTTAAAACAGTAATTTTCTCAAATTATTGGCTGTGAAATGTTTTCTTCTAAAGAGAACAAATTGCTTAAAGAACTTGACAGAAAACATCTGTGTTACCAGAACAGACATTGTGGTAAACAAACTTAATTACATTGTTAAACTGCAAAGGCCTCCAATTTAAATGGCAAAAGCAATGAAGCATTTACCATCAATTTAAATCAACACCTCTGTGCAGGAGAGATGGACACTATTGCTTCACGCGCAGACCTACTGTGTCACTCAGCATGCTCTCCTCTCACTACTGAGCACTCGTTTTCCACATGCTCACAAAGATAATGTAAAACACACTTAAAAGGTGCTCAAAGAAATTTTTGCCTTCTACTTCTCTTCCATTCTGCTCATTAAGTGGGGATGGATGAATGTAGATCAAGAGAAAGAGCAAGAAAGAGTGATGGGGAGGACAGAAAGCAAGGGAGAGTGGTATAGAGAAGGAAAGGGAGGGAATGAGATAGAAAGATCAGGCAGGGGAGGGAGCAGAGGAGGGAGAGAAAGAGACTTTCTTATGATGGAAGAGGATGGACAGAAATCATTGTGAAAAATTTGCTGAACTATCGGAGTCTTCCAAGAAGCACAAAAAGGTACTTCAGCATATGTGGATTCAAATTTGACTGAGGCTGCTATGGGTTCAACTTGTTTTAGGATAAGTAAACAGCCATCAATAGTACACTCAATCATTTTTTTGCTAAGAATATGAAATAATGCCTATATGCCAAGAAGAAATTTTCCTTCCAAAAGCCTTCAAAGCAACATTATTTAAAAACAAGTAGTTTTCTGAGCAGCAGAACCACTGAAAACTTGTTTCTTACATGAGTATTTTTAGGTTGAGTTTCTAGATGGATTTGCTGCTACCTAATATAGTGAATTCATGTTGCAGCCTCCCTGTCATGGGACTCTTCATACACACAATTTTCACTAGATACCTGCCTATTTTTCATAAAACTCTGAAGAAAAGAATGTCCTCCTGTTTCCTTATATGTCAATTTAGCAGAAATTAGACACTGGGCTCCGGCACTGTTGGTGGTGTGGAACAGTCTGACACAGACAGACAATGCAATGGCACGAGTCTTGCTTCCTCAGGAAACAGCTAAATGCATGTGACACACAAAAGCTGCCTCTCTAAGACAGTGGTCCAAACAACAAGAAGAGACAGCTATGGAATTTCTCAGTGGACAACTCAGTCAATAATTGCAATCTGATCAATTCAATTAGAGTGCAATTTTGGATGAAAATGCCAAACAACAATGAAATTCTTAACATATAAAACCAAATAAACAGAAAAGGAACAGATTTTCTGCTAGGACTTTCAACAAGTATACAGCAAAGAAAAAAACGAAGAGAACAAAAGTCAAGCTAAACATGGTTGAACAAGCTGAACAACAATGTCCAAGAAAGCTATACCATGCTTCTTTCAGTAGAAAGACAATTTTAGAAAGTGAAAATTGTGACATGGGAAGTAAAGATGTCTTTCAATACCTCTGAAAATGCAGTTTGATTTCTCACAGAGAACAAGACACTGTATGTAGGTATAAGCTTCCACACACAGATAGGTACTTGCTCCTGGGGCTGTAACAGGAATGGTAGTGTCTAACAGCTATGGAGCAAGGACTATGAAAATTACTACAGACATTGCTTTTTTTACAAAATCTGGCAAGAGACCATTCTTCCAAATACTCCTCAGAGAGGAATACTCTCTCTTTCAGAAAGGAGCCCAATCAATTTGGGTTAACTGCATCATTGGGTGGTTGCTAACTTAGTTGTAATGCTCTTTCTCAGGAAACAGTTGCAAAGGAAACTAGTAAAGCCTCAAGCTCATCAACTGAGGCTGTGAAACACTGCTTCCTAACAGGCCTACTTTTTCATGAAAATAACAGGGAAAGTAGTAAAAGAATTTTTAAGTTACACAAATGGAAACCAGCCTTAGTGGCACAATAACAAACAATTTGCATATTAAAAGCTCCCAGTTACACAACAGACCATACATAGAGAGGTTAAGACAGATGTATATAAAAGAATCCCATGATACTTCAGTGTGATATACTGGTTTGAAAGAGCACTGTCAAAGCCTTCCAAGAAAAAAACTCTTCCTGAAAATTAGCTATTTGACTACCTGTAGTAGAAGGATATTTGTAAGAGCTCTAGCATACATTATGTGCTAAGAATTTTCTCCTTGGTAATTGTATAGATTTTTCTCAAGAAGGGTTTAAAACACATTTAGCACCAAGCCAAGGATCATGTGGATAACTAAGTCAGACAGAGGTTTTCCACTTCTGTTACTTCACACGTTACTTTTCCATAGCAATCAAAAAAAACCCTGAAATCCAAGAATCATCTTATATAAAATACAGACTCACTGCAGAAGCTGGAACTTGCATTCTTCAGGATGGGTTAAAAATTTCTGAAATAAACGCTGTATTTTAGGGTTTTTTTTTTCAGCTACTTTACCAGTAATAGTTGCAGCTTCAGCAGACAATGGTTGCTGATTGAGACTACTTGTTTCCGAGTCTATATGGAGTGTAGTTAGACTGGCCACTTCTTGCTCCTCGGCACTCTGTTGCTGTCCAGAAATTGCATCAACGTCAGTGGAAGCTGGTGTCCCTGCCTCAGTGCCAAAGTTGAAATCTGCGTGAGGGAAGTATTGTATTAACTTACAACCTAAAAATATCACTCATATAAAAAACAAAAGCCCATGACCTCCAAAATCCTCCATGGAAAACTTAGTAGTATAGGAGACACACATACAATACATTGCTGCAAAATCCACATAAACTGTAAAATGCAGAAAATAATTGACTACTATAAATATTCTAATTTCTGTCACAAAACTGTGACTGTGTTTCTGGAGAAGACATTCCTATTGTATGTCCTGTTTCCTGCTTAGTTGCTGCATGTGCACCTAGATGACAATAAATTAAAAATAATGGAAGCATACATTAAGGAATTTATTTGCAACATTTACAAGCTGGAAGAAATAACCAAGTTTGTTACTAAAGCACTAAATTCGAACTAAAAATATTATGGCCAATTATGTTCTTGCAAATGGCTTTTTCAATACTAAAGAAAAAATGTTATGCTGACATGTAGGTTTAAATATAATCACTTAGTTATATAACATATACATATCTGAAAATTGTAATCGCTTCAATAAATTCTACCAGATAAACGTTATTTCTCTCTTATATAATACATGAAGTCATAATTTCTAGTAGCCATAATGACCCCTTCTGTTGAATAAGACTGGAAAAGGACAAAATAAATGAAAGAAAAGCATTTTGTTATGACACAAAGCATACTAATTTTCACAAAGCGTAGTAATTTTACCATGATATTACACTTAGTATCTTGATTAATCTATAGCTACACAAAAACCCTAGTAAAAATATCTGAAGCCCTTCTTTAAGTCTTACCTAAATGTTTTAAAAGAATTAAAATAACACCCAAAGTAAGTAAACTTTCAGTTTTATATTTTGTGCAAAACGGACAGATAGGCTCCAGGCAGAAGACAAGATTGCTTTCTAACTTCTGTTCACTGTTCTGCTTTTCACACAGTATTATTCCTTGGCTGTTTTGTTCAGTATACTATAAACACAATGGCCTCTCTCAAGAACTTTTTTTGCCCCATTAACTTGCTAATGATTTCAACGGGAAATCAAAATAAGCTGTCTTTACCCAAAACTGTTGGCCTACAACTTTACCAAAAGGAAAAAAGAAAAGTGAAATCTGTAATCAGTCAGTTACTTTCAGAAAAATACACTTGCTTTCGAATTTGCGGCCGTCGTACTGGAAGGCACTGAAGGAGTCGGAGTGGCTGTCGGAGCTGATGAGGTCACTGCTGCCCGCGCTGGCAGGCGACGTCCATTCCGAAGGCACGCCTGGGTCATCTATAGGGCGCATTTGGTTCTGTTTGTTCAATATATCAGGAAGGTCTTTAGGAACTTCCAGGCTGCCAGGACTGCTTCCTCTTCTTGTCACGTTCTAAACATTGAAGAGACATAGGTTAATGTAGAATCTTGGATGGATTATTTAAATAAAATGGAAAAAGCAACCCCACATTTGCAAGCATGAGTGTAACAAATAGCTCATAAGTCCCTAAACAAGAAATTGTCATCATACTACAACCATAGACAAGACTTTCCAAAGCCCCAGACAGGAAGTGAAGTATCCATGCAGTCAAAGAATTTCATAGATACAATTTTTATTTGCACAATGAATTTTTGGGCAAATACCTTAAAAGGCTAGGATTCAGACTAGTGTGTGCCACATGTATTAGGTATGACTTCAGAGAGAAAAACAGTATAAAAGTATATTATCTCCAGATTAAGTTCCAATTACTAAAGAAAACCCGTTAACCTTGGTTCCAGGCACAAACAGAAAAAAATGGCAAGGAATTTTTTGTTTTCTGGCCTATGGCTGCCATGCTATATGCAGAAACTTAATGCATGTGTGCTGCATATTTAATGCACCACAAGCAATTTAATTTACTAGTTCATAAATTAATTTTCTTGTGATTAAGCCAAAACCTCGGTATTGACTGGGTCAAAGACAGCATATAGCAGAAATAAGACATATAGATTTGCTCATACACAATAAAGTGGTGTTCTATTTGGAGTCTTTCTTTAAGCCATTTCTTTCATGATAGGACTGTTTACTTGCGAGGAAAGACAGATAAAAGTAGAGAAGCCATTTTATAAAATGGCTTGAAATCTTTTGCATTATGAGACTGAAGACAACTTCCTTTTACACTAGGCCCAGTCCCTTCTCTATTCTTCTACTACCCTACTACTGATTAGGTATTTACTCAGACTGACATGCTTTTCATGATACAAGGGTTTAGCATACAACTGATACAGCAACCTAAAACTAGTAAGTTGGTACTCTGTTTTAAGAAGGCATAGCTATTTTCATATGCCAGATTACAAAACCAGTGGCAGTTTCAAAATATCTATCTAAACTTATCTTGGCTGGTCTTTGCTACCTAAGGAAAGTATCAATTCTCTTGTCTGAACTATTAATAAAGAATATTCTTGCCCATCTATGTATAAACAAATAGTAATCCCTCTCTTTCTCTGTTCTTCTGTGGCCAGCTGTGATAATTTCTGTTTCATTACTTTGCAGACTAAGTAAACATTTCCTTACAGACTTCAAGTTAGCATTTTTGTCTTGTAGCTCAAGACTGACTAACAAGACCATTTTGCACCAGCAAGTTTCATAAACATAAGATCAATACAAAAGAGAAAAAAGCATACATTTGGACACAGTCTACAGGTCCTCTTGTTGTCTATGAAAGATGACGATAAAACCCCACATTTTCTAATTACTTCCAAGAATCATCTTCTGCCCCTTATTAGCAACAAGTAAACTACTTGTTGATAACTTTCTACAGAAGAATGTCTTAAAATGACCTTCTTAAAAAAATAACCTTTAAAAAATTCTAAGCGTAAAAAAGAACGGAACAACCTTGAAACATTGCATTTAAATTGTTACCCATTCTGTTCATTTGCAACTTTTAAAAAAAAATTTCCCCTTTTGCTGCTAGTTAATAAAACATGTATCTCTTCCAATCAGTTCTCTTGTCCTGTAAGCATTCAACAATAACCAGAAATTCTTGAATTAAAATTGATAAAAATTTCTCATTATGAATGACATTCCAAACAACACGACACTTCAGGGAAAGTGTAGGAAGGAAGCATACAAACAGTTGGTTCAGGTAGCAGAGAACAATTTACAAGAAATTACCCAACTAATTTAAACAAATACCCCCCCAAAAAAATACTTGCAAGTGAAATAAAATAATGAAGGAAGACATATACGGGTGTAGTTTCATAGTCTTGCACTGACTAAACCTGTAGAGAATGGTACCATACTGCAGCATGGTACCTAACTACATACCACACTGAGGACTGCAGATTTACATATAAACTATTATTCTGAAAGTGTCTGTGTACAAAGATCTTTACAGGTAAAATTAAGGCTGTTTAATTCAATGAAACTATTAATCTGACAGTAATTTCTGCATTGCTTCCACACTGAAGATTTAATGGATAAGAAAACACAAATGGCATAAAATGGCATGAATCTCTGTCAAAGGCAGTGAATAATTCATATTCTCAATTCTTTCTGGTTCATAAGATCCAGAGAAATATGTTTTAGTGAACTGATTTATAACATCACTGATGAATTCATGCACATATGCAGGCTTACATATTGAAACGTAAGAACTTTAAAACCTTACCAGTGCACTACCACTGCGGAGTCTCTCAGCTATAAATTCATCCATGAGGTCAGGAACATTTGCATTGCTACTGCCAATATCACTATCAATAGGGTTCAGCTTTTGACTCATGTCCTCTCTATTAGCTAAAAGCAAACAAACAACCATATATAGTAAAGAACACATCGAAGCGTTTTCAAAACAAAAACTAACAAATGAAAAAAGCTGCTAACTAACAGAAATGAAAAAAAATCAAAGCTGCCAAACATGCATTTTAGAATTTCCCTCTTTTAAAGCAGATTCTACTTCAAGAATTAGTATGGCTTCTTCTTCCCACGAAGCAGGGGTTAGTCAATTTTCAGTACCACCTTTAAGAGCAAGAAGCTTATAGGTCAGCACTACTCAAAGTTGTTAATGCTTGCTTTAAGGATACAGCATATATTCTTCCTCCATATCACAACAAATATGCGATAAATCCTAAAAAATTTATATGATTCCTACAGGCTCCTTCTTCATTGCATTCCTAAGGAAGAGTAATGTTGTGGAGAAAGTAAACTAATATGTACTAATGACAAGTGTCAATGTGGCATTGTATACAGTTAGTATAAATAGTACGAAGAAAATGCTATGTAAAAAGATTACATGCTAGTCTATGGAATGAAAATTCAAACTCTAGATGGTCAATGGTTACAAACAATTAAGTTCACTCATTTATCAGTGCTATATTTTTGCTATATCAAAACTGTCCATATTTAAATGTTGCTGTTACACCTGACTTCACGATCTTCACCTTTAAAATCTTTGAGTTACTCCAGTTCATATTTTCTCTGTAAGAATTTTTCCCTCAGTGTCATCTCTCATGAGACCACAATGTAGTTTGTTCTAATAATGAGGCTCTGTTAAATGTTACAGATTTCTAACAAAAGGTACTTCTAAAATTAGTGCTTTCTAAATGTCTTTTTCAGAAGTCTAGATTCTGCAGAGAAGCAAATCATCACTTTTTTGAGACCCATGACAGTCACGCTCTCGTGTCGTTATGCTTATAAAGGCTGCCCTCAGGTGGCATTAACATCTTGATGCAGGATGCATTACAGAATCCTCTGTTAATCATGCCAGCATAACAATGGAAAAAAAGAAAACCTGTATTACTACTGAAAGTTAATTTCTTGTTCATTTAAGGTTATGTGAACTAAGACCATGGATTTAGGGTGACAGCCTTCTTTTTTTATCAGTCCACAGAGGTCTCATAGTTAGCAGGAGAAAGACTATCATGAGACCTTCATGATTCCAAGAAAAAAGAAAGCAATGGAAGATGTTGCCAAGATGTAACCGCATTCATTTTGATGAAAGAATACAGAAATGCCTACAGCACGTTTTGAGAAAGACTCAAACAAATCCTTATGATTAGACTCACAGAGAACTGTTGTAATGAAATCATTCCAGTAATAGATGATCTCTGTTTCAGACTATTTTTTAAAAGTTATCTAAAGTAACCTCCAACTATAAATTTGAGGGGCTGTTTTGTTTTGGAGGAGGAAAAGGAGAAAGAGGAGGAAGAAGAAAACACACTAAATGAACCAGGAATACAATTACTGCAACCTAGCTGGTTGAGAGCCAGGTCATTCTGACGAACAAACTACACTCAGAGTGGAATAGCATGTTTGGATAAAATATCCATATGCCAATCATGCGGCTGAATTTTAAGGCTCTGCAGGGTAGATGGAAATTCAAAACTCTCAAGGCTTAATCCTTCATTAGGTCATTTACTGTCTCTTCCTCTTCCCTAACCTGATGGTCTTCAGCAGCAAAGAGGTTCAACCAAGTATCTTGAAAAGGGAAATTAGTAACATAAAGTATGTAAAAGTAACTTATGCTGGGAGAAGAATCAGATGGCTGTAGGCGCATGCATAACCAAACAGGGAAAGCAGTGATCATCCCAAAGCCTTTTGATTGCTTATGAGAGCTTGCTTCAGTTGCATTAAGCCAAACTGGTGCTGCCTTTCTCCTTTTGCGCTCTGCACGCTGTTAGTGCTCACCTGCAGCTTTCCTTCCAAAATAGCCCATTACATGACTGTACAGATCCCTCAGTGGAGCCTCTGCTGGCATTCTGTTCTGCCTCTGTGGGGAAACATTTGCCTTCGGCTTCGAAAGAGCATGTACAACAGTTTTATAAACACCACCCAGGGATCCCTGCTGTTGTGCTGACTCCTGACCTGGTGCTCTAAAGGCACTACGATTATGAAACTGATTAACTGCAACACCTTCTTTTTGCAACACGGCTGCTTGAGTTTCTGTAGATTCCTTAATCTGCTTGCTGCCCGCTGAAGCAGCATTCATTGCATCTAGAGGTCTATATATTCCAGGTCTAACCAGCTCTGTGACAGCTGAGGAGCTGGTGCTTGCACTGGTACTGCTGTTGCTGCTACCACTACTGCTACTACTGAAGCCACTGAGTTTACGAAGTCTTGCTTTCCAAGCGGCCTCTTTGCTCTCAAGAGGATTGTAAAATTGAACTGATTCTGTAGATGGCCTAAAAGTAACATGAACGCTATTTCTTTTTCTAGTTGTTATTTTCATGATTTTGGCCCTATGAGTTACAGTTTCAGATATACTCCTTTTAGCTGGTGACAGTTTGCTTGCGCCCGTGATGTGAGGTGTATGAGGGTTAACTTGTGCTTTAGGAAGAATTTTCTTTGCATGCATGACACGTGAGTTGGTTACTTTTTCATTAAACTGGGCACTTCTATGCTTTTCGGCTACTGCTGTTTCCACAACTAAATCTACATCAGCTTCAGTGGCTGCTTGCCTGTACAGGTATCTCTTCCCTTCTTTGCTGCTAGGACTACTTGACCCATGATCAAACATGCTTTCATATTGTTTATCAATGTTTAACTGTCTGGCTTTATCAAGTGCTTGATTTCTTGCAAAAATGTCTACTTGAGTAGGTGCAATATTACTTATAAAGCCACTTTGGTTTTGTTCTAGGTCCAGCTCTGTGTTACCGTCTCTTTCTGTACCAGTGGTGCTATTCGTGCCTTGACCGGTCTGATCTCTATTTTCTAATCCATCCAGTGGTACTCTATCATTCCTATTTACTGACGTATCAACTTCGTGAGCAGAAGCCTCACATTTATCTATCTCAAAGTTACTGCAAAGTTCTTCTTTTTCTTTAAGATATTCTCTCAGAGAGGAAAGAAGATCATCTTCACCTTCAAGGTCAACACATTGGCTTTGTTCAAAGGCTGTGTTTGCAAATTCTACCGGCCCTATTAAATGACAAAGATGGTCATAAATACTATCTCCAACTTCCAAGGAGGACTCTCTGCTATTTGTGTCAGTGATATGGCTTTCAGTGGATCTATGCATTGAAGAGGTCTCAGTGGAACTCTGTAAGCTTGGAGCATGATGGGATGAACTGTCAATGACAGGAACTGCACCTTTGGCTCGTTCAACTGCGAATGGTTCCAGGATGTCAGAGGTGCTGCTGCTTCGTGGCAGGGGCTGTTCCTCATTTAATGCACCAAAAACTTCACTTGGAGCATCCTCACTCTGTGAAAAATGTCTGACTCGAGGTGGACGTGGAAGAATTTGAGCATCATCAATGTCTGTAGGAAAAAAGTATATGTAACATGCACTAAAACTTACAGAGACAATATTTCTTTACCACTACATCCTAATTATGTGATTTTAAAAGCCAGGAAAGTCCAGAGCCTTCTTTTCTCTTAAATACAATAAAAATACATTTTCCAGTACTAGAGTGTTAAAAACACACATACATAATATCCAGTACAGAATGTAATATAAATGAGTTAGACCATCAGAACAGTTTTAAATGTTAACATGCATGAGAACAAACAGTGAGACCATGGAACGTTTGGAAATACAGTCAAAGCTAGGGCTGTGCCAATAAGTTCAATAATTCAGTCAATATTATTCCAGCTAGCTTGTTCATGAAATGGCTACCTGGACACAAATTAGCTCAACAGTTGTACCCCTCATGGAATTTACATCTTCAGAAAAATGCAGAACTCCAAAGAGAACATGTAAGTTTTCTGGAAACTAGGACTGTCTGTTGAAGTGGCAAACTATTACTTTTTCATAATTTGTATGAACACATATGTATTGCTGAAATATCAGAAAGAATACTATCATAGACTTATTAATATTATGGCATATGTACTATAGTGTATACCTAAAAACTAAAGCTTTTAAGTGACAGGGAAGAGCTGGCTCTGTACCAAAAAGATGCGTATACATCATGAGTAATTGAAAAATACATCTTTTTACCTAGAAGGATGTTTTGTCTCTCACCTTCAAAATGTGGTATGAAATACTTAACGGAGGCTTACCTCCCCCTCTTCTTCCAGTTTCACTCAAGCAAATGTGCCATTTATGAAAATTACAAAATTAAGGACTGCTACTGAAAAACATCCTGCAGCCTCACAACAGGTAACATTAGAGAAATAGCACTTTTTTTTACTGAAAGATCAGAATATTTCTTACGACCATTTAAGTTAGTGATTCCTTGTCTCTGTTGAGACTGCTACTATGTTAGGATCGGTACAAATCACAGTTAATTGCAACAAAAGTTGCAGTTCCAACATGGATCACCTAGGAATTGTACAGAAGTATCTTCAATCCACATCATCCACCAAAATAAAGAAATCTCACGCTCCTCTTCAAATTTCCTGATGTTATAGGAACACTACATATTATAAAAATACTGGTGTAGGCTAGACTAAGTCTTTCTTATAGGTAATTCCACTAATTGCAAGAATTTGTGCTATTGAATTTGAACAGTAAGGTAAAGACAGCTTTCTCCATTTTATGTTGGTTTCTTTTTGGTAGAAACCTTCATTCTCCTGATTTACTTTTTACTACCTACAACTTAAAAAGTTGTAGACATGCTTTTACAGTCATGAATAACAATAAAGAGCTTAACTGAACACCAAGAAGAGTTACTCCCCACAATAAAGAGATTCGCCTTGTTGTTCTACCTAGAGGGTTTATCCTCAGGACTGAAATGGCAAATTGACTTAAAATCAGTACATAACTTAAGCCCCTTTCCCTCCCCTAAATCCAATGTGTTACTGCCAAAATAAAGAAACTATGTTAAATTAATTTTAATGTATTTCAAATTATTAATTCATCAATCTCTATACATATTTCAGTAATATTTAGTAATGATAATCTGAAGTAATCGTAAAAATCTCTTTTAAAGTGCTCGCATTGCTCACATTTTTCTGAGAATGTTAGAGCTGGAGCTGAATTTTCTCACATTTTGCTTCTGAGTAAAGCATATAAACTGGGGGAACGAAATACATCTGTACTTAACTAAATATACGTGTTTGAAGAAGATTAAAAGTGGTATTTCCATACTCAATTTTTCAGATTAGTTAAAATTTGAAAATTAAACTTTGGCCTGACATAAAGTTTACTAAACTGTCAAGAAACCAGTAGACAGGAAATACAGAGGTCTGTATTGGAAAAAGAGAGTAGACATACAAGCTATTTCAGAAAAAAAACCATGATCTATAAATCATCATATATGGCACAATTTATTATCCCTTTTCTCCAGCTCTGATAAGCAACAAAATTCTCATGACTGTTCTTGTTCGACTTATTACGAACTACGTGAACCAGCACAATCTGAAATGAATGGTGTCTCTCTAGCTGGAACTGTTATTTCAATCTCTGTGTTGACTTAGGCGGAGATTAACACAGGTTGTGCTTACATAGTCTCAAAGCTATTTCTCACAGCTGCAAAGAAAGGACCATCGGATTCAGTCAGAAATATGTATGTTATGTATGAGATTAATATATGTAACTATGATACACCAACCTCATCTTGAGCCCTCAGTATGCATTTTTCTTTTATAAACTCAAGTTTATCCACGGCATCAGACTGAGGATTGCATATGGTGCAAGCATGCAGTGGCTATGATTTTCTAGGACGTTAAAAATCACTGGATAGAGAACTCCAAATGCACGCCAAGCAGCTCCACACATTGAAATAAATTCAGCTAGATTTATTTCAGTGTTGATCCAGTATGAATTTTTGGTGGTCACATATGCACTACCAGCACACACATACAGATACATTTTCAAAAAAACATGTAGTGCTTGTGCCAATAGCGATTTCTTTTTTGCAGAACAGAGGAAGAAATTAAGGAAATTAAAAATATATTGTTATTGCAGTATCAGCAATCAGAAAATACAAAGTTTAATGACCAAAACAAACAGCTCCTTCAAAACCAGGGCTCACCCTTGCACACAGGTATACAGTCAAACTGGGACACCATCAATCTTAAGCAGTTTTCACCAACTACACTGCAATTGTGCGCCAGAAGGCTGCGTATCTGACATGCTGCACATACTTAGGAGAAATGCTGGCCTGGCTCCTAATACAGAATCATAGAATCATAGAATCCTTTAGGTTGGAAGAGACCTTTAAGATCATCAAGTCCAACCACTAAGCCATTGGGGCTCTAAAGTCCTCTGCTAAAACAGATCAGAATCTGTCAGGGTTGGAAGGGACCACAAGGATCACCCAGTTCCAACCCCTCTGCCATGAGCAGGGACACCTCACACTAGATCAGGCTGCCCAGAGCCTCATCCAGCCTGGCCTTAAAGACCCCCAGGGATGGGGCCTCAACCACCTCCCTGGGCAACCCATTCCAGGGTCTCACCACTCTCTTGGTGAAGAACTTCTTCCTCACATCCAGCCTGAATCTACCCACTTCCAGCTTTGCCCCATTCCCCCTAGTCCTGTCGTTACTCGATATCCCAAAAAGTCCCTCCCCAGCTTTCTTGTAGGCCCCCCTAAGATATTGGAAGGCCACAACAAGGTCACCTCGGAGCCTTCTCTTCTCCAGACTGAACAGCCCCAACTCTCTCAGTCTGTCCTCATAGGAAAGCTGCTCCAGCCCTCGGATCATTCTGGTGGCCCTTCTCTGGACATGCTCCAGCAGGTCCACGTCCCTCTTGTAATGGGGGCTCCAGAACTGGATGCAGTACTCCAGGTGGGGTCTCACCAGAGCAGAGTAGAGGGGGAGAATCACCTTTCTCAACCTGCTGGGCACACTTCTCTTGATGCAGTCCAGGATCTGGCTGGCTTTCCACTTGATGCTGAAAAACTACCTTTTCCTTCTGCCTTCCAGCAGAAAAAGGAGAGTTGAGGTTGATTTAGGGAAAGTTGTGATGGGGAGAGATTGCCTAGAGCTGTCAATTCCAATCTCTTCCTCACTGTAGCATGTCTCAATAAATAACAAATTATAGTGGGTTGTTCTGTCTTCATATTGAAAATTAATATACTGTCTGTACATAAGAGAAAGGTTTTGGCATAAGTGCTTTCTTTTGGGGCTCCCTGTCAAGATTCACAGTATTCAGTGAGTCACTGTTTCAATGAGGAATTTTACAGCTAAAAGGGAGCTGAATACTATTTCACAAAACCTAAGATTAGGGCATCCTCTTCCTTTGGAATTATTTTAAATATCCTCTCCTTTTTTATGCTGGAATTATGCTGGATCAAACTCAGTTTGTGTAAGAGGGATATTCATATAATCATAAGAGGAATGGCTTTTATAGTTAGCTCAACCACTCATTACCTAAAGCATGCTTATGATAGAAACAATTTGATTACTTCTCAAATTATATGCTGTACATTTGGACACAGAGGGCTTTCAGAAAACAATGTATTTACTGTAAGAAGAAAAGCCAAAGAAAATAATAAAGCTCCATGTCCAAAAAAACTAAAGGAAGAAGAGAGCAAGCAATAGAAGATGCAGAAAATCAGAAGAGCAAAGTGCACTCTGATCCTGTGGATAGTTTTTCCTTTACTCTGCTACTTCCTCATCAGCCCTCTAACTGTTTGCTTTTCTTCACTAGAGCTTGGTTTTCTGGCAGTGTTCAAGATTCTTGTGCACGTCATGAAGCCGCTTCAATACCTATCTGTTTGAGAAGACAGCAAAACTAGGACAGACCTAGGACTTTTTCTATATTAGAAATGCAAAGAGACCTGCAAAATTATTTAACTTTTAAGAATTACAGTGGCCACGCAGTTTTCGTATTGGATGAGTATCAACAGAAAGGATGATGGGTTTGGGACACATGAGTAGAAAGATGCAAGCCAGAACTTTTCAGAAACATGGATGATAAAATTGACTGTGCAAGCACTTTTGCCTTAAGACATGATAATTAAGTACCAGTGATGATATGGCAAAATAGTAGATCACTGTGAAACTTCATTCCCTTCTGCAGGTGTTGTTAAGATTTTCATTGACTATTTCCAACAATGTTATGGTCTGGAAAGATCTATTTCCTAATAAGTTGTTTATGTACTATTCCTATAAAAAACACTATCTTCTAAGTCCTAATGATTTATATAACAGAAAAGATATTGTCTGCACTCAGACATTTATTAATTTATTACAGCAATTTATATTTTACTATTCTTTGTTTGTGGTGTCAAGATTTGCTTTAAAATACTTTATATTTGTGAAAGTCTGGTCTCTCTAGAGTGGGTTCTTCAAATTTTCCTGGTTCTTCATTTATGTTTTCAGATTGAATACTAATGCACAAAGTTTCTGTTTCACAGTAAGAAGACTTAATGTTGCACACATAACAAAATACAATCATGAAAATCCAGTTCTTGATACTTCTTGGGTAACAAAGGCAGGAAGGAGAGACAGAATAGAAAAAAATAAAAGAGCATACCTTCCACAAAAAAAATTACTGCCATTAAGTCCTCATATTTGTACATAGTTTTGACTATATATATAGCACTCCCATTGTGCATTTTTTTTGTTTTGGTTTGGTTTTGGTTTTGTTTTGTCATTGAGTCAAAGACATAATATGATTGTCAGCCTTAACATGCTACTAATTTACACTTACGTAATAGCTGGAGCACAGCTACTAAGAAGAGCATTATCTGTAAACTTTCATGCATTAATTTTTAAAACCTGTGCTAATTCTAATTGTTTGGCCTATCTGTTCAAAGAAAATGATCCAAAGAAAGCTACTGTCAAAATTCTAGCCAACCAGCCTGCTGGACTAAACAGTGTTGAGGAAAACTACAACTCTGTAAAAAAATGGATCACTTGAAAAACAGCGCCAAGAGACAACACTTCAGAATTCAAAACTGTATAGCTTTTAAAATGTTTTTATATATTAATGGAAAGCAGGTATACTGTAAAGTGTATTATACGATACCATATACTTCAGATATTTTTTTTTCTGGGAGCTAAAGTATATCATTACCCTGGCTCTCCACACAACACCTATGACACTGAATTAAAAAAATTATGCAGAAAGATGCAAATGGTCTAAGTAAAATCATGTTCTTCCTTTCCCTCCCTCACTCATCACAAATAAAAACTTTTGATTACTTGTACTCTCTGCTAGACAGATGCTATATTACTGCTTACCAACAAATTGAAAAACAAGAGATTTCTCTGATTTTCACTTTTATGACAGCAAACATTGGCACAGCACTAACTTCTAACAGTTCCAGAATGAATTGCAAAATAGCATGACATTTTACATTAAATATTCATCCTTAATCTCTTCCCCTCTCCCCCCATCCCCCAAGTATTTTTACTTTGAAAAATTTAATGATCTAGCAGAATTTGAAAGCAGAAGGTTTAAAAAAGTGATAAAGGGGGTGCAGAAATTAGCAGAGGTGGCACTACCTGAAAGCTCATCAGAAAGGGGAGTGAGAACAATATCAGGCAAGAAGGGTTTGGAAGTATGGATCAGAACAGGAGCACTTTTAGCACTGCGTATATAGGCCGATGGCAGAGCACATTCACCAATGGATCGGCTTCTCATGGCTTTAAAAAGGAAAAGAAAAGAAGTGGGGAAGGAAAAAAGAAGAGTGACTATAATGAAAGGCTTGTGTCACAGAAAAAGCAGCAACAGAGAAAACAAAGATAAAAAGGAAGAAAATTCAAAAATTAAAACATTTCAGCACGGCAGATATTGGCAGAGCTGTAAGAAAGAAAAAAATCAGTGGACACATAAGACATTTTGAGTTTTTAACTTTTATGTAAAGCAGTAACAATGCCTTTATTGTGACAATTACAGAGATTTTGCATTCAAAATCAAGAAACTAATTAACACTTGTTTTCCCATTGCATCAGGGTTGAAAAATCAAACTTAAAGTCACTCCACAAGCACTCCGAACTTGAAAATTTTTAACAGAAAAAGCAACTTACACTACATTTGTATTTTTCTAGTTTCCTTTGGTTTACTCCTGAAAAAGCATCTCTGAATTTTAAACATACCCATACTCTTGAATTCATGATTCTCCAAAAGAGATTCAAAAGCATAAGGAGAAAATGACCAGTTCTGTGTGGAGAAATTTGCAATACAACTTGTTATAGTTCCACATTAAAAATGAAGTGACCGAAGTGAAATGGTTTGACAACAAAAAGCATTAAGTTGTTTCTTATTCATAGGATCTGGCTTTTAATTTATACTGGATAAATCTTGCTAAACTGGTCCTAATTCGCCTTTTCATATCCCACATCCTGCCAACAGTCCTACAGAATGAAAACACACATAAGAATTGTGGCATCAGGATCAAGGTTCTATCTGCAGCTTTTCTAGTAGATTTGAAATCAATCTTTAGGACATTTGTTTTCCCTTGTCAGAGTAAGACATCGCAAGGACCGATACTGCATTCAGTCTCAAAGTACACTTGAAGTTCTTCAAAAAAAGCAATACTCATTGTTTGAAGCAGCTTCCTTTTCAAACTGCTGCAAATTCAATCACTTGTTTTAAAATAGCTGCTGATAAACTTCAGTGCATCTTACAGAAGCATTGTCAACACAATATTTAATCAGTCTTTGAAAGTTTTTACATATTGTTTCAAAACAACATGGATTATAGACTAAGAATCTTAGTGCTCCTGATCTGTATGGGAGTCAGAAGTACATGAATGGAGTACAGTGAAAGTTGAGCACATCACACTTCTAAGCCAGGGTAAAGAATTGTCCCTAACAGCAACATGCAGGTAACTTGGGTAGGAAAACGTACATAGAGCAGAAAACACATTTCACAAATGCAGCACAACTTAAGAGGAGTCAACATTAACTTGAAAAAAAAAATTCAGGAAGACAGACGTTTTAAGACTGCAGCCATTTTGTATTAAACTTAGTTTATAAGAGAGAAACCAATTTTTTTTTTTTCTTAAAAAAAGGCAATTATGTTTAAGGCTTTAACATCTCTTCGTTCAAGAGATAGAATAATAAAAGTCAGGATAAAGTGATAGTTAGATGCATTGCATTCATCATTGTACACCTTAAAATGAAAAAAAAATAACAAGCTACATAGTAAATCTGAAGGGTCTTTTCCAACCTAAACAATTCTATGATGCTAAATAATCCAAGCTTTTGAGACCGGGTAATGTGTTGATTACAAATCTTAACATAAAACATCCTTGTAATTTGACTGGATCTATTCCACACTGATATGAGCAAGGGAGTGGGCAGAACAACCTATTTACAGTTTGGAAAGTGGAAGTTTTCCAAACACTTCTGGAGGAAAAATTGCAGTGTATTATTATTGAAAGTAAAATTAACTTTGAGATGCTGTAAAAGGAAAATGTGATCTCAGTGAATAATTTTTTTAGACACATCTTATAAAATAAAATAATATATATACACATATAAAATCAGATGTGTCATATTCAGTTAAGTAGTTAAGTAGTGGAAGATTTAATATCAGAATGTGAACTAGATATTTGACAGTTCATAGCCTTCCATTGCTGTCTACAGACAAAATCAGAACAATAATAAATTCTTCTAATCTGGTATTTTTATAGGACTAGAATCTGCTGCCTAATCCACAAATTCTGTTAAAAAAAGCCTTACAGAAGATTTTTCAACCCATATGCATATCATGTTTAAAGGCCCCTTTCAAAAAATTACTTTACATAAGTTCAGGCTAAAAATGTACACACTGCATATCAGAAAAGCTGTGATTTTTATTTGAGTAACACACACAGACACACAAATTTGGTGCAGCAATAAATGTGTGCTGGCATGAGGATGGCTCAAAAAAGAGATGCACAGATGTACACAGAGTGTGTACAACATAAAACAGATGAGGAAAACCCAGCTTTCTCTTACCATAAAGAATTCAACATGCACATCCCCCCTACTCAAGTATAAAGAGTACATTACTCACAGCCAAAGGAAACATACTACATATCAGGTATCATGCAACATATCTGAGGTCTGACTCAATTCCAGACTTAGCTTGTGGAGCTAATGTTAAACTGAATGAGAAGATCTGACCAGCAAAATGTTCTATACCACATTTTAATTATTGCGAATATAAACTAGGGTTTTTTTATGTGACCCTGTGTTAACTGGAATTTACAGATTAAAAAGCATCCAAACAGCTCACTCAGCAGACCTGAGAGACAATAACAAGCAACTGTTTGCAGACAGTTAAGACACACGCTTTTGCAACATATTTTTCATTAACATTTTTAAAAATTTAAGAGTTTAGGATTCTGGCTATGGCAACTCTTTTTGTGCTTTGTATCTTTCAAAATCATCCTACCACTGTTGTGATGCTTGTCCACAAATGGTATTTTACAATATTAACAGAGCTGAAATTTTAATTGGTTACAGTAATACAAATGTGGCTTATTAATATCAAATATGTAAGATAATTGGGAGGAAAGAAACAAAACCATGGGAAATAAAGTACAGTGAAACTAAAATCAGATTAGTTTGCTGTTAACCGAGTCAATATATACCGTGATTAGGATAAATTTCAGTGATTTTAGGGCTAACATATAAATAGCCATCTTCCAAATATCAGCAAAACAAAACCATTAATAAGCTGACCAAACCACATAACCTTCTGACAGAATAGCTGAAATATGAGCTATTTAGGAAGGAGAATTTTAACCAGAGTTTTACCTTGTTAAGACAATAAAGATTGAAATAAAGACTTAAAAGAAAACCATTGCAACAGTTAATCACAGACTACAGTGGAACAGAAATCACATTTAAAGTATCTGTGATCTGTAAAGAAAACTTTAGTCAGTGCTGTCAGCATGAGATACATGAAAAACTGTGTAGCACTTGAATGCATGAAAAAGACACGAAATTTTGGAGTAGTGACTTCATTTTCTCATGTGTCTGCACTGCTTATAGAACAATTAACTCTTCCACACCAACAAAAGCCTAATGAGAAAACAAATTTTTTTTAAGTGGAGAATTTTAAAGAATATTCAGAAAAAAATTTTGTCTAAACAACCTCTGTGACGTAAAAGAAAATATTTGTGGAAAGAGAGAGCAAATGTTAACTTCTGAAAAGCTGACACAATTACATATTCAACTGTCAATATGAAGTATCAGTGAAGCAACAACACACATTGACCAAAGACACTACTACTACAGAGACAGTAAAAGAGATATTCCTTAAAAGGTGATTCTTTTAAATAAACTGTAAAATCAGCAAAATTTTTCTTCACATCAGGGATAGCACTGAGATCAGCAAGATGAGACAAAAGTGTAAAGAAATCTGTCATCCAGTTCATTTTAACATATTCTATGACACAGACATAAATGAGTCTTCTTTTGAGCTATCCAGCTAGAGCACTGTTTAGCATCACTCATTTCTAACACAGGAAAGAGTATCTGCTGCAAGCAGTGAAGTTGAGAAATACGACAACTTCAGAAATGGAGAACTGCAAACATCTGTGCCAATCTTTCAGTAACACAAGATCCAGGTTATATTAAAAGACAACACATTTTATAAACTATGCAGACATATACGTATCTCTCATGCTTGTCTTTGCACCGCTGGAAAATACTCAACCTATTTTGTGCATGGTTTCTGAAAAATACACGCTTTAAAAGCCTTCTGTTTTCCACTTATCCATACCACTGCTCAAACCATTCCAGCTTTTTTCTCTTTCATATATGTACAACAGCATTATTCTTCCGAATTAAGCATGTGATCAAACTCATTGCAAATTTGTACTTCAGCTGCATTACTTCCATTTGCAGTAACTGTAATTCTAGTAAGCACAGGCTATTTAGCTACCCTCAAAGCACAAAAGGTTGCATAATTTACACATTTAACTAATTATTATGGGTAGTACACTTTTGTGGAAAAGTTATCCCTGCTGCTAGGAAAGTCAGCTATTAGTTCCTTACCCTTTCTCAAATATCACTTTTATTAGCTTTTACAGATACGTACCAACTGTTTTCTGCCGTACTATGCTTCTTGCTTTTTCTGTTCCTGGAGAGCCAGTGGTGGTAGCACTGCGTTGCCTCATTGGTGCTTGTCCAGGCTGATCACGACTCCAGCCTCTAGAAAAGGACTTATCGACGGAAGATTTTGGGAATTCATGCCCAACTCCTGCAAAAACAGACCTGCAAATCTATTCACTTGCATTTTGGTATCACCAGATATTTGTAGTTGTGTTCTTTAAAGCTGGACAGAAGAAATTATGTTATTAAAGCAAGCACAATTTCAAAAGCTAAAAAGCTTATTACTGGTTTTTAAACACATAAACCCATTCAGCCAACACTAACACTGAAGGATATTAAAACTATTTTCAGAAATGCTGGTGCTATTAAACTACTGTGGTTTTCTTTTTTGAACAATCAAGTGCAAATCCACACAAAGCTGGGTTTACAAGAGTTGTAGCCTGAGAAAATGTTTTCCATTTCTAAAAGTAGAAATTTTTCCTTTGCTGTTCCTATCAGACAAGACACACAAAATCACAGAATCATAGAATCATTTTGGTTGAAAAAGACCTTTTAGATCATAGAGTCCAACCATTAACCTACCACCATCAAGTCCAGCACTAAACTACATCCCTAAGGACCTCACACAATTTTTAAATACCTCTGGCAATGAGGACTCCACCATGTCCCTGGGCAGCCTTTTCCAATTCTTGAGAACCCTTTTGGTGAGGAAGTTTTTCCTAATATCCAACCTAAGCCCCACCTGATGCAACTTGAGGCCATTTCCTCTTGTCCTATCACTTGTTAACTCATGCCTTATTGAATCGTAGACCATTAAAATTGTGGGTTTTTTCCCAAATAATTTCATGACATTTGAGGAACGTGAAATAAAAGCGATAAAATACTTTAACATGAAATGCAAAAGCAAAATATAGCATGATGGGTGCAGAGAACAAGGCTCTTTGAAAATTTGCAGAAAAGTACTATACTAAGCTTAAGAAAAGGTGGAACAAATTCAGATTTGACATAAGTGATTAAAGCTCATATGAGGAGCTATCTAAAACAACTGTATGTAAAAAAAAGTGAACTAAAGAATATTTACATTGTATTTCCTGATCCACACCGAACTCATATAATCCAAAATTATACCTGATAAATGGTTACAATCATTTAATGGTCATCTTGGAAAGTGAGCCCTAGTATATCATGTTCATTATTATTAACAAATGAACAGGGCCAAAGAAATTTCACATAATTTTAATATTTATTACTTCCAAAGCTGGACTTAACTCTGCAACTCACATCTAACAATAAAGTCTTTCTCTGGAACTCTGTTACCAAAGGCTAACAAACAATTCTCATGTGTCTCTGTATGGGTGACATAGATGATTCAATATTTTTTAAGCCTATATTTAAACTTTTTTTTTTTCAAAAAACTGTGTCTTTCACAAGAAAAAGTAAGCTGTAGGGCATAGGAAAACAAAAATGCATGGTCTGGAACAACCTCTCAAGGCCAAGTACAGAGAAAAGTATTTTTGTCCAGTTGTCACACATCAGAAGAACAAAACAATATTATGAATAATGCCTCTGCCCAAGATGAGAAATTTGGAAGCATCTGAAATGTTCTTAGCAAAAACAGCCTACAAGAACATCCTTTTAGAGAGAGGGAATCCACACAGATTACTCCTCACTGACAAACCCTAAGGTATCAGTAGGAAGTACCTTCCCTCAGGTTTGACTGAAGAACCACATCAATCAGAGTACAGATTAAAAAGCAGATTTAAAATTAGACTTTTGTTCCATCCTTGTTACTCACCCTAAATATAATCTTGCCTCTCACTATTAGATCTCAAAGCACTTTCAAAGAGGAGAACAGTATCTTTAACCATGTTTTAGAGAAGTGGAAACAAAGACAGAAGTGATTGCTCTTGGTCACCTATAGAAAGGCAGTCTCTGTTCTGGGAAGAGAATCCAGGTTTTGCAACTCCCAATCCAACCGTCTTTCCAAGAGGGCAGACTTCCCGTCCCTTACCAATTCCAGAACTGTATCATTATAAGCAAGTAGCCACATCCTCTCCCCATATTATGTCCTACAGAGTATTTTCTGTCTGATCTTAAGAATCAGTTTAAAACCTGGTACCCTTCATATGGATTATTAAAAAGCATCCTTTCTCTTAAAGAGTGCAACAATGTCACTTTGATAGAACCCATCTTCATCATGGCTTGGTAATGAATTAGTACCCAAACAAAACTATGCTCACCTTGCATTTCATCTTTAAACAACATCCATTGGATTTCAATACCTACTTGCTGGCTAGTTAATTTTTCCCACATGTGCAATCTTTGTTATTTTCAAGAAGTCACAATTGGGACTCAACTATTTAATTGGTTTGATAAAAAGAGAAATACAAAACCGACTACAATGTAACATTTCACATGAAATTCAACACACCTTTGAGAACTACATTCTGTATGTGCCTATCTGCAGGACTGAGTTGTAATGTGAGGATTTTGTAGTGGTTCTACAAAGCAGCCTTATCTTAAAAAAACTGTGTTGTTTCAGGTGATAGGGATGCCTAAATAGGTATAGTAATAAGGCTAGATCAGAACTATGCTGTGCCAAACAACTCATTACCCCAGCTCAAATTCAAATTATACGTATCCAGAGTTGTCTTACCTTTGCCTTTGTGTTTTTTCTGCTTCTGCTCACTCAATTTATCCAATGGCAGGTCACTGAGGTCCAGGCTATACAGGTTTCTAGCTAATACTTTAGTTAGTGTCTCCATTGTCAGTGACCACTCAGTGGCCAGCTCTTCCCAATATGTCAGTGATGACATTACAGACAGCAAGTCATCCCAAAGTTCTCGAGAGATGTACACATTTAGATTTGCTTTGATCCAAGCTACTATAAGAGTCTAAAAGAATAAAGTGAGAAAAGTTTGGCTCCGAACATAAGGTGACAACATTCAAACGTTACTGCTTAAAATGAAGCTTCTAACTGCCACAGAAATTTCTGTGTGGTCCTTACCTGCCCTTAGTGGTACTCACAGACTTCTCATGAATTATCAAGTGTTATGTTAGCGTGGGCTTCTGACTTAGATACAGGAACTACTGGTTTGACTCATGAAATATCTTTCAGTACCTTACAAGTTTTGCCAAAGAGTTTTGTAGTACTGTCTCAATTAGTTCTCATCACATTCGTAGCTTTTGCAACCTTTTGTTGCCCACTAAAGAATCTGGAGAGTTTACAGATCCTGTTTACAGAAAAGCCACCACAACATCATTCTGAAACAATAAACTTTGAAAGGATCTGCTACAGCTTACTGTAAGGACTAAAAAAGTCAGTTGGTTAGGCATGTATAGCACAGAAGATTCTGTGCTGACTTGAGCTAATATTGCAATGGAAGCAGTCTAGAACTGCAAACGTTGCCAGTTATGCCAACTGAACTGAAGGACACCAAATTTTTAATTTCACAGTACCCCAAAAAACATTGTCAGGGTGTCATTTAATATAAGACAGCAAGTAACAAATGTAGTCAGTTCTTTTAACTAACACCATTCATGTTATCTGGTTAACATGATCAATGATTTAGGATTATAAACCACCCAAAAGTGAATTTATGTTTAATTGCCTGGAAAAGAGGTCCTGCAAGTCTTCCAGCTAATGTGGAGTTTTTTCTTCCTTGATACTGCAAGAAAGTTTGGGGTGGTATTTTCAGCACAGATTCGGTAACCCTGAGCAGCACAAGTAGCATCTGTTCCCTGTAAAATAACATTAAACTTAGAGTCGCCATTTTGTTATACCTCTGTATACACTAGGATACTTTTAAAGATAATAACTGAATTTGATTTGCTCAAACACTTCCCAAACAGGACACAGTGATTACAAACAGCCTAACTTGGTTCTTGCGAAAGAATTACTCTATTCTTTTCACACTTGAGAGTGAGGAATCCCTGTCACCCTCTAACATCTTCTGCCTGGTCATTCAAGTGCTATCACCTTCAATGGCCTGAAATTACAGGCAAAATTTTAATTACATTTCCAGTCTGAGCTTTTACTACCTTTTTGTATGAACAACAGGTTTTGGCAATGTTACGTTATCGTTAACATATTTCATCAATTATTTTGTGTAGCATAGTCTCTGCCATCACAGTCTAGAATCACTTTACAGTGACGTGAAACTGTGGAAGAAAATACAAATCTAGTGGAATTTGCTTTCTATTATTATTCCAAAATTTCCCATTGGCTAGCCCTGAACTAACACCTTATTTCCTCATAAGAGAAAATGAGCTTCATACAACATGTAATGGCAACTCTGCTTACCCAGAGTTCAGGAAATACTAGTGACAGATTGAATGTAAATTAAATTAAAATGGAATAAATCAGCCATTTGAAATCCACTTGCTACTGCTTCTTTTCATTAGAAGAGCTATTTGAAGGAGAGGGGTAAATAACAGAAATTAATTTGAAAGTGGGGTCCCTTGTACCTGCTAGACAGCTTAAGGACTGGAAAGGAACAAAAAGAGTCAAACAGTACACAGACTCCTGTACACAGTTACAGACCAAGAGCAACCCACATGTGATTATAATAGTTATCCATGCTGGAGGATTTTTGCTTGTTTTTAAATGAGGCTGTGAAGCTTCATGTATGTTTTCATATTTTAGCACTTTGATACATGAGCAAAATGCTCTGGAAAAAAGTCATCAGTAGCTCCTTAATCACAGTCTGTATATCCCAGCTTCTTTTATGTACTGAGGGCTAAGCTGCCTCAAACTAGCCAGGTGCTTACTACTGGCTTTAACAGAGCAGGTAAAGTTCTTCCCCTGCATAAGCAGTCTGTGCTGCTAAAACACATGTATTTACTGTTTTACAGAAACCAGTTCAGATAGTCAATACCACTCTACTGTGTTTACTACTATGTATACCATTTATTTTGTGAAACAATAATCTAAGATAAATGCATTAGCATTTTACCATGTCTTCTTGTCCATAGTCACTTGGACTACCATGTGACGGTAGATGTTAAGAATGCGTTTACACATATCAGTGTGTTCATCCAGCAGAGCTTTAATTTCATTTGCAGGTTCAAGAAAGAATATATTTGAAGAATTTATTATAAAAACCTGTAAGTAGAAAAGAGTGGATGGTATGAGCTTGAAGCACTTTGATGTTTTCAGCAACTCAATTGATAATAACTAGGAAGAGAAAATCAATGACTAACAGAAAAGGCCACATATGCACTCAGAAGTATGTACTTAAGTATAACTTAGCTTGATATGATGATAAAGCAACAATAAGATGGATTTTTTTTCCATAGATTTTTTTCTAAAAACATATTTCTGTATTTTTACTCTCACAGACATGTGGTACAATGAACTACTCAATACAATTACTATAATATGATGGAAAAAAATGTCCCATTAAAGAAGTCCACTGCACAAAAGTTCTACCTGTAAGCCAGCAACTAGCATAACATATGCTAAACTACCTGATGCAGTCCTGGTACACAATGTGTGCTTCAGCATGGCAAAGTCTGTATTATGATATGGAAAACTAAAGTGTTCATCCCACTGTGATCGGTAAGGCTTATCAAAAGTAGGAAACAGGATACCTTCTCCAAAGTGGTTGCCTTCTGTGGACAGTGAATTGAATTAGGGCTTTCAGAATTAAAATGTTGAAAACAAAGTAGGCAAGGACACTACAAGAGTTACAGGAGCTGCTATGGAAGTGCTGTTACATTTTCAAGTTTAGGAAGTGTCTGAATCACAATGAGTCCTAGATTTCCAATTATTTTTTGTCTTCCTTTGTCATATGTGCAGGTAATCATTGGTTCTATAGCTGCAATTTCCTTCTACTGAGAGCTTTGGATCTTACTAATTCAAAACTATCAGAACACAGCTTTACATTCATTAGCCACAATTAATAAATGTACCCAACTCTAAATGCCTAGAAATAAGTCTACGTAAGAATTAAATGGGAAGAAAACTCAAGACAGAAGTCTTGGATTCTGGATTCACAGGAAAAAGTCAATGTGGTTCCAGGTCAGGAAACCTCTCAAATTCAGGCAGGGTACTACGTTAGAATGATGCCTTGTCTCTGTTCCAGGCCAAAAAAAAAGATATTTGCTGGTCAACTGAACCTTTGTTTGAAAAACCTCAACATGCAGAATCTCACAGACATTCTCAGCTGTGTAAACTTAGTAATACATTGCAAACAGATCAAAATACTTTGCTGTTTCTTTTCTTGGAAATGCTTCATATTCCAAATAGTCATTGTATGCAGAGGTTATGAAGCTCAAATTTTGAATTTTATGGAATCAACATATTTAAATTTAAAAGTGATTTCCTTTACAAAGTTTACTTCCACGTATAACTGTACAGCACAACAGGAAACCCTATTGAGGAAATCATTCAAGCTGATTCAATTTATTTTCTTCAGAATCAATTTCCTTCTGGATAAAAGAATAGTATGGAGACTAGAGTCATACACATACCTATATGAATCTATGTGCATACAATTATTATACATAAAATGCACATATTTTATATGACCTTTATATGTGCATTTCAAAGACCCTCAAATTATACATGCCTCATTTTCTACATTCTCAACTTCAGTGAAGTGTTTTGCTGAACATTTGAAATGAACACAATATCTACCCTGCCAAATTTCGTAGAAGCATTCAGAAAGCTTCTATTAGGGAACTTCTGCAACTGTCCCATTCCTTAAAGATATCACAGAATCACAGAATCATTTCAGTTGGAAAAGACCTTTAAGATAATTGAGTCCAACCATTAACCTAACACTACCAAGTCCAGCACTAAACCATGTCCCTAACTACCTCATCTTCACAACTTTTAAAGGCCTCTAGGGATGGGGACTCCACCACCTCCCTGAGCAGCCCATCCCAATGCTTGAGAACCCTTTTGGTAAAGAGGTCTTTCCTACTCTTTAACATAAACATCCCCTGGTGAAATCTGAGGTGACTTCCTCTTGTCCTTTCTCTTGTTACCTGGGAGAAGAGACTGACCCCCACCTTTCTACAACCTCCTTATAGGTAGCTGTAGAGGGTGATAAGGTCTCCCCTCACCTTCCTCATCTTCAGGCTAAACAACCCCAGTTCCCTCAGCTGCTCCTCATCAGGCATGTTCTCCAGGCCCTTCACCAGCTTTGTTGCCCTTCTTTGGACATGATCCAGAACCACAGTGTCTTTCTTGTATTGAGGTGCCCAGAAGTGAACACAGTATCACTGAAGTACAGAGCTGTGGTTTAAAATTTTATGATTAAAATTTTCAAACACTTATGTACTCATCCAATCTATAATTCAGATAAAGATGAGAAAAAAACCTATTCAAATTAGGAAAACCACCAGTTCAGATGTCTTGTGTTTGGTGACTAATAGCTTAAAAGTTTCTAAGCACTCTCTAAGCAAATCATAGAATAATTTGAAGATATGGAATTCAAATGCGAACTATTTTTTTTGTGATATGATGGAGAGCAGAATGCCTGTCCTGATGCAAAACAGAAACAATCTTCTTACTGTGTTATCCAACACATGTGTATACGTTTCCCTACTTAAGGACAATTAAGACATTGTGGACCAATGCCATTATTCTAACACTATCACCATACTGCCTAAACCTAAAATATTTTTTTTAAATTTAGAGATGCTTAGAAGCAGCCTGGGAACCCCTTGGAGGACTACTGCGTTATATTCCCCTCTTTATGCACTGATAACAAGAGCTTTATTATTAGGATGAAAATTAGATATCAAGACTGCTTCATACCTGCAATACAGACTGCACTCCAGCTCGTACATTTTGCTCCTCAGTATCAATTTCGGACATTTTATGCAAAGTGTCTTCATAACAGCCATTTCTTGCCCAGTTTGAGTTTCTAACATGACTGGAGTGTACCCCTTTTTCCTGAAAAATATTTTTTCTTAAAAGCCCATACATTTGTATGACAGGTATTTTGGTTTTATATTAAAGGATAAAGGATATAATAAATATTAAATAATAAACAATGTCAGACATGTTTAAGATGCATCTTAACCATATTTTAAGACATTTGTAGCAATTATTTTAAAGTATCTGATGAAACAACTACTATTTTCCTCATCCTTTTATTTATATGTATCTTTTACACAGCTGAAGCTGGGCACACTGTACAACTGTCATCCTGAAAATAACTCATAAAACTATGCAAACACTGAAATCGTACTAACCACATTCAAAATCTACAGATAATGGATCTAATTGGTAGCCCATTCATGCACTGCTTAATTATTAATTACCATTGATTTTCCCCAATAGATGCTCTGACATCAAATTAAATCACATAATCCGTTGAGGTCACTTCTTGGTCTAGTAGCATATCAGAAAGATGCACAAATATTAACCAACAATATTTTACCTCTTCTCTTTCTTTTGCTTTCTCTGATGAATTGTGGTCAACAACATTTTCATCACAATCTGCAGTTGTGCACTGCATTACTTCTTCAGGTTCTTTCATAAATAAAGGCTTGTCTTCTTGCTGAATCCATTCCTGATAGACCTTTACCACCTTCCTCATGGCAGCTGCTTCACATATTGGCAACAGAAATGCCTGTGAACAGAAAATTAAACAAACAAAAAACCAGTTAAAATACTTGAAATGAAGCTGGGTTCTATAATGTACAGGTTCTAAGGGTTAAACAAGAAAAAAATACAGCCACTGTATGATCTTAACTAATAAATTACTCCTAAACCTATATGTTTTGCTCACTTTCTACATCTGCAAAACTGAAAAGATGAAAAAGCATGTTTTAACAAAAAACCTTGTCAAGAAAGTACTTTGAAAACTTCATTGCCAAATATAGAGAAATGAGAATCCACACAGGTCTATCTAACCCAGCACCCGGACTGGTGAAATTAAGATGTAAACACTCACCAAAGGTATGCCAAACAAAGGAGCAGAAGTTTCTACTACAACATCTTCCG